AGGTGAAGTTAGCTTCATATTCGAGTAAATCCTTCCCATATTCGCTCAGGAAAGCGTTCCAAGTGTACCAATCAGCGTTCCAAGTAGAACTCAACGAGCTCTATCTAATGGTAACTTTGGATTTTCCATACCCCAAACCAATCGTGAGAAAAATCCAAAATACTGCACTTTCTCAATAGGAAAAACCAAACCTACTTACTAAAACCCGCCCATATTCGTCCAGGAGCGCGTTCCAACCGTTCCAGCAGCGTTCCAAGCACAACTCGACGAGCTCTATCTAATGGTATCCTTGGATCAATCGTAAGGCAAACCATTGGTGAGAAAATCTCAAAATACCAGATTTTCACTATACATATGGTTACTAAAACCTGCCCATATTCGTCCAGGAGCGCGTTCCAACCGTTCCAGCAGCGTTCCAAGTACAACTCGACCAGCTCTATCTAATGGTATCCTTGGATCAATCGTAATGCAAACCATTGGTGAGAAAATCTCAAAGTACCAGATTTTCACTATACATATGGTTACTAAAACCTGCCCATATTCGTCCAGGAGCGCGTTCCAACCGTTCCAGCTGGGTTCCAAGTACAACTCGACGAGCTCTATCTAATGGTGTCCTTGGATCAATGATAATCCAAACGAATGGTAAAAAAATCTCAAAATACCAGACCTTCACTATACATATGGTTACTAAAACCCGCCCATATTCGTCCAGGAGCGCGTTCCAACCGTTCCAGCTGGGTTCCACGTACAACTCGACGAGCTCTATCTAATGGTGCCCTTGGATCAATCGTAATCCAAACCATTGGTGAGAAAATCCAAGAATACCAGATTTTCACTATGTATATGGTTAGTAAAACCTGCCCATATTCTTTCAGGAATGTGTTCCAAGTGTGGGTGTGGTGGGTGTAGGTGTGGCTTTGGATGTGGGTGTGGTGGGTGTGGGTGTAGTTGAAAACGAGAGTACACCCACACCCACACCCTAAATTTTGGAATGATTGATTCGATTTTTCATGTGACTGTTTTGAAAGTAATCGTAGAACTTCTCTGACATTTAGATGTTGGAAAACTTCTGTTCCAAAGTTTTCAAAGGCAGCGAGCTCTCGTTGTGGAAATTTTGTCAAGAATACTCAGTAGTGTAGAACTCGTTAAGTCGTTACGACTATTCAACTATTCAACGACTATTCAACTATTCAACTATTCAACTATTCAACTATTCAACTTTTCAACTATTCAACTATTCGACTATTCAACTATTCAACTATTCAACTTTTCAACTATTCAACTTTTCAACTATTCGACTATTCAACTATTCAACTATTCAACTATTCGACTATTCAACTATTCAACTATTCAACTATTCAACTTTTCAACTATTCAACTATTCGACTATTCAACTATTCAACTATTCAACTATTCAACTATTCAACTATTCGACTATTCAACTATTCAACTATTCAACTTTTCAACTATTCAACTTTTCAACTATTCACCTAGAATATTAGTAGCATTACCTTTCATGCTAGAGGCATTTTCTGGGATGCCACTAGCATTGCCTGGTATGCTAGAGGCATTGCCTGGCATGCTACAGGCTTTCCCTCGGATGCTAGAACCATCACCTGGCATGCTACAGGCATTGTCTGGGATGCTAGAGGCATTACCCTGGATGCTAATATCATAATCTGTGATGCTAGAGCCATTACCTGGGATGCTACTAGCAACCCAGAAAATGCTACTAGCGTCGCAGGTAATGCCTCTGGCATCCCAGGAGATGCCTTTAGCTTTCCAGGTGATGGCTTTAACATCCCAGACAATGCCTCTAGCATCCCA